GCGCCGCTGCCCTGAGCATACACGGTGGCCAGGTCCAGGCAGCGGGCCTGGGCCGTGACAAACACCTGCGGCACCGCGGGGCAGGCGCGGAGGGGGCGGGCGGGCACGGCAGGAAAGCGGGTCAGCAAGGGCAGCAGGGGAGGAGGTGCAGAGTGCGCAATGAAGGGCCCCCACCGCCCTCAATCACCGCCACCCGCATGGCAACAGTCAACCAAGCTACACACGGTGCCGCCGACCGCGCCGCCGACTTGCCGTGTCGCAGCCGGTGCCGGGGCGCAGCGCCAGCATGTCGTTGGTGGACTGGCCGTGCAGGAAGGACAGGCGGTCGTCGCCGGCCAGGCGCAGGCGGCCCCAGTGCGAGCGGTCCACTATCGCGGCTGCGGGGCGGCGCATAGGGGCAGGGCAAAGCATGAAAGGCTGTGGGTGGCAGCGCAGGCGAGCACGCATGCAGAACAGGCCAGCTCAAAGCTGGCACGCAGCGTGACGCAGCACGCAGACTGGCGGCTGCAAGCCAGCAAACAGGGCGCCCCCGCCCCGACCTGCATGCTCCAGCGCGTACAGCGCCCGGCTGTCGTTTTTGTAGTGCACCACCACGCCCTCCTCCTGCGGAGAGGCGCAGCCCAGGCGCAGCAGGGGCAGGGGGCCAGCAAGAATGATGAAAGGGCAGATGATGCTTGGAGACCTTGGCAAGGCTGGTGCACATGTGGGCTGCCTCCTGACCGCCCTGCTCCGACTGACAGGCGATTTTATCCCACGCAGGGTCTCAGAGACCAACAGGGGTCAAAGGTCCCGGGGCGAAGTGCTGCTCTCCACTTGACCGCCAACAGGATATGTGAGACACGCCCTGACTGGCCGGCTGTCAATTCCGCCCAGCACGCCGCAAGCTGCGGCAGGCCCGCGGCGCAGGCGCTCACATCAAACACCGCGCCCTGCTCGGTCTGCAGGGAGGCCAGGTCGGCGTCTATTTCTGGCATGTCGAGGTCATCCAGCAAGGCATCCAAGTCTGGAAGCTCGGGGCTGGCCGCCGCCGTGCGCCACTGCCACTGCTGCCGCTGCCGCCGCTCGGCCACCTGCCTCCGCGGCTGCGCTTGCCGCAGGGACGGCTGGCGGCTGCTGCAGCCGCTGTGGCTGCTGGCCAGGCTGCAGCAGCAGAGGGGCAGGTGGCAGGGTTGAGGGGGCCGCCAGGGCAGCGGTGGCGGCAGCGGCGGCAGCGTGGTAGGCTGGCGAACGCTGCAGGGGAGCCTGGGTGCAATCGCGCTCACCATATGCCAGCGCGGCTCCTGCTGCAGCGTTGTGGGCGGGAATGCGCGTGAGAGAGGTGCGGGGCAGGCCGGCAGGACTCGGGTAGCGTGCTGGCCATCGCCAAAGCCGCGCGGTCGCGATAACAGTGGAAATGATACCTTGCTGGCGCCAATTTCCGTTCAATCGAGACGTTCGTGTGAGAGCAGCAGGACAGCAGTACCCCATTCCCAGCTTTGCCAAACCTGAGGACTCGCCGCCCTGGCATCACGCTAGTTACACCAGATGGGGAACCGCAGGTGGAACAATACAGAGGGCCTGGTTGCAGTGCCCGCAGATGCTCAGATGCTGCCGCAATCAAGGCGGCAAATGAAACGACAGGGGTGAGGGGACACGAGCAGCAGCAGGATCCGAGGAAACAGGAGCATTAGCTACGTAAACAGCAAAGCTGGGGAAATGGAGGGCCAGAAGGCAGGCACGGCGTGCGACGGTGGGCTCAGGAGCTGCCCAGCCAGTCGGCCCACCGCTGCCAGTAGTCGCTCAGCGCCGACACGCTGCCCCTCAGGCTCGTCTTGCGCATCTGCAACACACACACAGCGAGGCACACGGCTCGGTGGGTGGGCTGCTCAGCACAGCACTAGCGCATGCTGGCCCGCAGCGAGCCAGCGGCAGCACATCGTCGCAGCCCCCCATCATGGCGGCGGCAACATCCCACAAGCGTACGGCGCATCTCTCTGCCCCCCTGCCTGCCGCACCTGGCCCGGGTTGGGCGTGTTCTTGTAAGGGTAGCCGGGGAAGGTGGCCAGCCCCGCCTGGCCGTTGCGGTGGGTCTGGAAGCGCTTGAGGCGCATGTAGCCGCCCTCGCCCCACGAAGAGCCCCACGAGTTCTTGATCAGCCAGCTGCAGTGGGAAGGAAATGAGAGGCACACGGGCACTGCGGGTTGTTAAAGGCATGCGTGTCCGGCTGCGCGAGCGCCCCGGGCTGCACCTCCAGCCAGCCCGGCACTCCACCCCGCCTCCAGCTGGCCCCGCCGTGGCTGTGGCAGCCCACCGCAGCGGCGGACTCACTAGGCCTCCCCCGTCTCGGCGTCTGTGTCGTAGCCGGCCACCAGCACCGAGTGGTCCAGAGGCTTGGTGCACTGCACCGAGTCGCCCATGACGCCGCTCTTGTACAGGTGCCACTGATCCAGGTAGTCGCCGCAGCACACGGCGGCCACGGTGGGCTGCAGAGGGGGCAGGGAGGGGGCGAGGAGGGTGAGGGGTGAGGGGTCACAGGAGCGGGGGTGAGGAACGAGGGCAGGGGGCGAGAGACAAGAGAGCAGGCGATGAGAGAGGCAGGGCTGTGGTGAAGAGGGAGGTGAGCGAGGCCGCCCAGCGGTTGCTCGCAGGGGAGGGCAGCAGTGGCAGGCGTGGGCGCCACAGCCGCCGCACGCCGCCGCATGCGCCTCACTGCCCACCGTGTGCGACACCGACTGCATCAGCGCGGTCTCGTTGTGCTTGGGCACATCCACGTGGCCGTTGATCGTCACAGGGCGGTTCCTGTGCGGGCAGCCAGCCGCCGACTAGCTCAGGGGGGCGGCCACCACTTAAGGGTAGCTGGTGGCGCAGCATCGCGTAATGCTGCGGACGTGCCTGGAGCAGGCTGCATCTGCCACCATGACACTGCAGCATCCACAGCCCCGCTGGCCCTGGCTGCCAGCAGGAAAAACAACAAAAACGAATGAAAACAAACAAACAACAAACTCACTTCTTCATGCGCCGCCTCTGGCAGGCCGTCACCTTGGCCTCGTACGGCCAGTCGGCATCGGTGTCGATGCCGCCGTTTTTTATGATCCACTCAAACACGTTCGAGAAGTCGCCGCCTGCAGGAGGGGGCGTAGCATGCGGGGCGTGGCATGCGTGAGCGGTTCCATTGTGGGTGGGGATGTCACGGGGACGGGGCGAGCAAGCCATAGCCGTTGTGGCTCTCCCGCCGCTGGATACGCAGCTCCCACCACCGCCCACCACCACACGACTGCCACCCAACACAACACACCGCACACACGCACACACACATGCACACACACACACACGCACACACACACGTGCACACACACAAGCCCACCGTCGCAGCCGTAGTCCAGCTCGTCGCAGCTCACAATCTCCTGCTCGCTCAGGGTGGTCAGCTCGCCGGTGTACAGCGTGTTGGCTGCCTCCACCCCCGCCATGCCGCCAAACGCGTAGCAGCAGCCGCACGGCGCGCCGCCCACGTGCCTGCGGGCGGGCGGCGGCGGCGGTAGCATGTGTTGGGCGGGGAGTGGGCTGCGATGCTTCCCACGCGCACCGCCTGCTGCACCCAGGCAGCCATCCAGCGTGCACCCTTGTCACGCCTGCCGCGTGCACGCCCACACCCACCAAGCAAGCCCACACACTCACTGGTCCTTGACGGGCGTCAGCTTGCCCTCCGCCCGCCAGTCCCGCTTGGGTGGCGGCACCTCGTCGCCGTAAGGGAAGGGGTCGCCCTTGGGGCGCGGCTCATCGCCGTCGTCGCCATTGGCGGCGGCGGCAGCGGCCCGCAGTTCCAGCAGATCTACAGGCCTGCCGGGGAGCGCAGCAGAGCGAGAGAGGTGTGGGCAGGCTGGCCGGGAACCTGCGCCGGCCCAGGGAGCTGGCAAGAGCGCTGCCAGCTGCTGCCGCCGCCGCTGCTGCTGCTGCTGCTGCCCCAGCCCCGGGGTTAACAAACAAAACGCTGAGCGCTGGCCTTTCTTGCTGTGCGCAGGCGATGCGCTCACTTGGCCCCAAAGTAGCGCAGGCGGAATTCGTCTGTGGTGAGGTCGGCGTGGGCGTTGAGGCCCAGGCGGTAGGTGGCGTCGTTGCGGGCGTTGTGTGCCACAATCTTGGCCAGGTTGGCCTGCAGGAGACGGCACATCTGTTAACTACATGTTTACTACGGTTTAGGTGGTGGTTCAGGTGGCGGTGTGTGGCCACGGGGGCAGAGAAGCGGGCGAGCGCGGGCGGGCGGGCGTTGGCGTGCCTGGAAGATTTCGTGGCGTCGGCCGAACTCCTTGGCGTCCCCCAGGTAGGGCATGCTGTGCAGGCGGGCAAACTCCTCAAAGGCTGAGGCGTGGTCCTCCTGCAGGACAAGGGCGGGGCGGGTGAGATCGGCGGCGCGGCAGGAGAAGCATCAGCTGGTCTGCAGGCGGTTGCAGGAGGCCCTCTGCTTGCGATCACGCTGGAAGGAGGCCAGTCTCGGCCCCCGAGCCGTGCGTGCAGCCGCCTGCCCAAGCAGGAGCGGGGAGGCGCACATGCATGGCCATGGCAGCGGCGAGTGGCGGCGGCGGCGGGGGGCCTAACAAACTGTTGTTGAGGCTGCTTGCAGCACCTGTGCCTTGGTCAGCAGCTGGTCATAATCATGTTCGGGCACGTCGGCGAGGCAGGGGCTTCCCAGCAGCGCGAGGGCAACCACGAGGGTTATAGCAGCCGCCATGTCTGCAACTGCTGTGACTTGCTACACTGAAACGCTTGATAGCTGTATTGAATGCGATCGGCACATGCAGCCAATAAGACGGGTGGCAGAGCGGCGGCGCTGGAAAACGTGAGGCGCTGGCGGCCGAGGGAGGGCTGGCCCTCGGCTCATCGGCGCTTTACCAGAGGATCGGAACCCGCAATCATGCCCGATGGTGATGCCAGGGAAGCGCCTTGGGGGTTGGCAGGCTGCCGCCCGCCGCCCAAGGTCTGCTCACGCGGCCTATCATAGCGGGGTGACTGTAACACCATAGCTGCCGCCCGCCACCCACCATGCCTTTTGCCTGCGCTCTTGAAAGCTCTTCACAGGAGGTGGTGCGGTGCTGAGGCTGACATGAAAGAAGCATTAGGTTCTCAGAGGCATAGCCAAGTACAGCCTTCAGGCCACGGCCGCCGGCCGCTCCTGGAACGTCACAGTCTTGCGCCCCTTGCGCTGCCGGCCAGCCCCCTGGCCCTGATGCAGCCGCTTGCCGCCGCTGGTTGCGGGCCGCGGCACGACGATCATCTTGCTGCGAAGCTCCGCAAACACGTGCGCCGCCTCCTCCTGCACCTCGCGCAGCCTGCGGCAGGGGCGGGCGCTGCAGTTTCACACAACTGCACTAGCTCATGCTGTGGGCCCATCAGGCCTGCGCCCCTCTTCCCCAACTTGCAGCAGCTCACTGTGCTGCTGCGGCGGCGGCGCGCTCCATGCTCTGCGCCATCGCCTGGCGCGCCTCGGCCAGCCTCTGCTTGGTTTCGCCGTGCTTGGCCGCCGTTTCCTCCAGCCACTCGTCTGCCTGCTGGTTGATGGACTCACACTTTTCGAAAGCCTCCTGCAGGCAGGCGGGGCAGGCAGGGAAGGTGGTGTTCAGTGAAAGCCAGAGGGGTGCAGCGACGGCGCGGCATTGGCCCGCGGGCGGTGCCGTGCGAAGGGCAGTGCTCCGGTGGGGTGCAGGCATGGGCCGAGTCCCACCTGTGCCTTGCTGAACACCCGGTTGCTGAATTCCAGGCTCATGTTCTTGGACCGCTTCTCCCCGGCCGCCAGCAGGCTCTCGAGCTGGGCCACCTGCAGGCGAGGCAGGAGGCCGCAGCCGGCGGGTGGGTGAGCGCCCGCCGCCGCCGCCGTCTCCCCGCACGTTGCCTGGGCGGCGGGGCAGGCGGGGAGGTCGACTTCGCGTGCCCTCACCCGCTCCTCCGCCTTTGCCTGCACCTCTGCCACCGAGCTGGGGGCAGTGCGCTTCTTGCCGCCCGCCATCACGCTGATCGAGTGTTTGGAAGAGGCCTCGAGCGACCGGCAAGGTTGGGAATCGAATTTCACGGGATGAAATGGAGCTGGGGCGCCCGCGTAGGGCTCAGAGGCACCGAGTTTCTTTTTGATGCAAGCGGCGATGACTGGCGCCCCATGCAAGCGCCCCACTGCTCCTGCCCTTGCTGGCAAACGTCTCATTACCAGTATCTGTGTAGAGAGCATTCATGAGGGAGGCTGGCAGCAGCCAGCCCACGCGGTCGGTGCTGGCAAGCTCTGCCGTGCAGCATGACAGAGACGGAGCGAAGAGGGGAGAAGAGAGGCAGGAAAGGGGCGTGTAGCAGCAGCACGAGACGGGGAAAAGCAGCACGATAACAGCATGATCATCAATGCACATGAGCCACGGGCGCCAGCCGTTGCTGTGCGTCAGCAGAACCCAGCTACAGGTCGATTCGGGCTGGCCCGTCTGCCACAAATGCATCCAGCCCTTGCCCCATATCGCCTGGCGCTGCCGCCGTGGCGGGCACGGGCGGCGGCGGCGGGAAGGGCGCGCCGTCGCCCGGCGGCGCGACGACGTACCGCTGTATTGCCTCCAGCCGCTGCCGCGCCGCGGGGTCCAGCAGCTGCTCTCGCACCCGTGCCGCCTTGCTGCGGGCCTTGCTGCCAGGCAAGAGGTCCCACTCCTCAACCTTGCCCATGACAACCTCCGCCAGCCGCACCAGGCTCTCCTGCCCCATCACGTCCTCCCCTAGCGCCTCAAACGCGGCGGCGGCGCCGCCGGCCGCGGCCCCCGCTGGCTCTGCTGCTGCCGCCGCGGCGGGCCCGCTGCCGCCGGCGTCCGCCGCGCCCTCGCCGCCGCCGGCAGCCGCGCTCGGCGCGACCGCCGGCGCCGCGCCGTTGGCGCCGCCGCCTGCTGCTCCTGGCGCTGCTGCTGCTGCTGCTGCCGGGGCGCTGCTGCTGCTGCTGCTGCTGGTCAGCTCCGCCTCCTCATCCAACGGAGTGGTGCGTAGCAGCTCAACAATGCGGCTTCCCAGCACAGTCTCGTCGCTGCTCCACACACACGGAAAGACAGGAAAGGTGACTGGTGAGCAAGGCGAGGGAGGCAGGGAGAGGCGCTCCCCTCCAGAACGCTTTGATCGCGCCACCCGCTCCTCCCAGGTCCGCTGCCGATGCAGCGTCACACCCGAGCAGCGCACACCCGAGCAGCACACAGCCATGCCGCACCTGTTTTCACACAGCTCGCGAGCTACGGTCTGGATGACTGTGCGGCGGGTGGACACCAGGCGCAGCGCCTGCTCGTACGCCCGCCGCTGCAGGTCCAGAATGAGGTCATCGTAGCTGTGGTGGGCCCACTGCAGGTAGAAAAGAAAAGGAAGAAAGAAAAAACAAGAAAGAACGTGAGGTGTAGGGAGGAAGGCAAGGGTTTGAGGCCGCAGCGGTGGCAGCAGAGGCTTTGATGGCCGGGGGGAGTTGCTGGCATGCAGGGGTGCTGCCCTTGGCGGCTGCGCTGTCCAGCGCACCCGGCTGCCACCCCTCGCTGCCTCAACCTCCTCCGCCGCACGCCACGCAGCCACCGCACCACTGCAGGCATCCTGGGGCAACCGCCGCCGCGCCGCCGCCGCCCCGCACCTTGACTGTCGGGTCTGGGCGGCCCCCGGGGCGGAGGTTGAGGGACACGAGCTCGTCCCTGGTGGCGGGGTGCAGCTTGGAGTCCATGACGATCCAGCGGGCCAGCTCGCTGGCCTTGCTCACTTCCTTGGAGGTGCTGAGCGACACGGCGTCGCGCCCAAACAGCACCTCCTCAGCAGCCCTGCAGCGGGGCGGGCAGGAGGTGGGAAGAAAGTCGTGTGGGTGAGCTGGGTGTAGGAGGGCGGGCATGGCAGCAGGTGGAGGGGCAGGAACAGAGTCGCGGAGAGGAAGTGGCGGCCAGCAGGGAGCACAGCCGCACGAGAACTGCCCTGCCCCTCGAGGCAGGCGGGCAGGCACAGCCCGCGTGCGCAGCGCCAGCGCCAAGCAAGCGCCAAGCAAGTGCAGGTGCGGCAGTGCAGGATGCTTGGCAGCTGGTTGGCTGGCTGTCTGTTGGATGGTTGGTTGAGGGGTGGCGGCCCGGCCTCAGAAGTCCAGACATGAAACACGTTGCGTTGATCGTCACGCGGACGCTCAGAAACTCACCAGATCACAACAGGAGCTCGTCACAGGCCGGGGATGCACCCACCCATCCACCCAGCCAACCATGCAGCGGCAGCTTACTTCTTTGCTTGCACAGGCAGGTAGGATGCATGAAGCGGGCACGTGCAGCGCCCCTTGGGCAGCGGTGCAGCAACAGGGCCAGCGCGGCACACCAGAGGCCCCGCCACGCTCCCCCACCTCGCCCCACCCCTCGCCGCCAGACAGTGGCAGCGCAACTCGCCTGGGGGAGTACAGGGGGGTGAGCATGCCGCACGCCTTCTCCAGCGCCGTGAGTGGCTCCTCGACTTCCACCGCGTTGCAGTTGTGCCCGGGCGTGCCCAGCTGGTGCCACGTGCCGCCGTCCTTGCCAATCTCCTGCCGCACAAACAGGATGCGGGTGATGGTGCCGCTGCGCGGCCGGATCGTGACGTGCTCGATCGGCGGCAGGCCGGGCGTCAGGGCAAAGGCCACCGCGCTGCACGGGGCGGGCGGTACAGGCCGTCAGGTGGGCAGTACAGAGCGTGAATGGGGCGGACGCGCGCAGCAGGCAGGGGTCCGGTCAGCACCAGCAGGGCGCAGGGCAGCACGGCTGTCCCCTCCTTCCCAAAACGACATCACAGCCCTTCCCCATGAACCCACTACATCCTCCCCACACTACCCATCCCCCCCACCACGCGCACCAGTCCACCACAAACGCACGCCCACACGCACGCACGCACGCATGCATGCATGCATGCCACAAGGAATGGCAGGCAGGCTGGCTCACCGCGCCGCCTCGATCGCCGCGTACTGCCGCTTGGCCGCCGATTCTGGCAGGCTCTGGTGCGGCAGGCCCAGCCGCACTTTGTCCATGGCCTCCTTGAGGATCGGCAGGTCGATGACGGGCAGGCCGGCGGCATCCAGGTTGTTCTTGCGCACCTTCCGGGAGGATGTGTGTGGGGAGGCACAGGCGGGAAGTGGTGAGGAGGCAGGGCAGGCGGAAACAAGGCTGGGAGGAATGGCGCGGCCTGCCTAGCCGCACGCGCACGCTGCCCGCAGGCACGCGCCGGGCGCCGGGGAGCGCCGCGCCCCGGCGCGGCCGCCGAGGGCGCCCAGCGCCGCCGCCTGAGCCGACCGCCAGGTCACCACCTCAGCGCCAGCTCAGCTCACCGCCAGGATGGCGCCCTCGTTCAGCAGGTTGGCCAGCTCCGCGCCGCTGAAGCCGATGGCCAGGTCAGCGATCTGCCGCAGCAGCGCGTCCTCATTGGAGCGGTCGATGGGCTTGTTCTTGGTGTGGACCTGCAGGTAGGTAGATTGTTTGTTTTTTGTGGGGTGAAGGTGGTTGGGTGGTGGTTGGGCGAGGCTAGTTGGAAGCTGGCGCTCGTGTGGTGCGTGATGGTGTGAGCGGCGCCGGCGCAGGAAGCGTGGGGCAGGCGGTGCCCAGCGAGGGGTGTTCCTGCATGCCCCCCACACCACGCCACCACGCACATGCGCGCACGCCGCCGCCGGGCGCGCCACCCCCCACACGCAAGAGCCCACCTGCAGGATGCGCAGGCGGTTGGTGGGCGAGGGCCGGCCCATGTAGATGGTTCGGTCAAAGCGGCCGGGGCGCAGCAGCGCGTCGTCCAGAGCATCAACGCGGTTGGTGGCCCCCACCACCAGCACCTGCAGGCGCGGCGGGATAGGGAAACGCGCGCAGTGAGCAGCGGCGGCGCAAAGGAGGGAATGAGGAGAGGGCAAGGGGCATGTGAGGAGTGAGCAGGGAGCGAGCGACCCTGGGTGGCATGGAGCGGCTGGGAACACAGGTACACACACAGGCAGGCAGCAGCCCACCCACCCGGTCGTTCTGGAAGAAGCCGTCCATCTCGGTCAGCAGCTGCAGCAGGCCCTGCTCCCGCTCCTGCGTGCCGGAGTCCGTGGGGCCGTTGCTGCGCGCCTTGCCGATGGCGTCGATCTCGTCTGCGGCGCAGCGGGCGGCGATTGCGGCAGGGACGGAAACGTTGTGTTGGGGGCAGGAAAGGGGTGTTTGATGCCAGCGGAGCGGAGCGCCAGCACAGCCAGCTCTGCCACCCGGCAGCGACGGGCACACGAGGCGCAGCACGGCACAGCACAGCACGGCACAAGTAAAGAAAGCGGGCCCTTAGCGTGCAGCCACCCACCTATGAAGATGATGGAGGGAGAGTTCTTGCGGGCGGCGCGGAACAGGGAGCGGATGCGGGCGGCGGCCACCCCCTGGAACATCTCCACAAACTCGGCGCCGTTGGCTGGGGGAAGGGGGCGGTACAACAGGTTTCGGTGAGCGGTACAGCACAGGCAGGACGGGCGGGGCAGCAGGAAGGGGAGCGTCTGTAGTTGGGGAGGTGGCTGGCGTGAGCCGCCCACAAGCGTCAATGGCCCCGCAACAAACAGCAAGCCGCAAACCCCAGCGCAGTCTCTCCCAACGCGGTTGAAGCGCTTCCCCCTACCCGAGTAGAAGGGTATGCCCGCCTCCCCAGCCATCGCCTTGGCCAGCAGCGTCTTGCCGGTGCCGGGAGGGCCCTCCAGCAGCACGCCCTGCAGGCGGCGGCGGCGGCAGCGAAGACGGCGGCACGGTCAGGAGGCGACCATGGTGCAACAGGAGCGCGATGCATGCCCTCGGGTGACCTGCCCAGCCAGGACAACAACACTGGCAAGCACACGGCTGTCCCTCTGCTGCCCTGTCGCTTCCGCAGCCCCAGCTAGCCTCTGATAGGGTAGCAGCCGGCCTGCACCGCATTCCGCAGCACAGCGCTGGCACACGCACCCGCATGGGGTGGGCGCCCATCGCCTCGTACTCCTCATCTCCCAGCAGGATGTTCAGGATTTCCTGCAGAGCGCAGGGGAGGGCGCAGGCACAGGGCATAGCCAGGCAGCGAGTCAGCAAGAGCAGGAGGAAGGCGTGGCGCCCGAAAGCAGACACAAGGAGCAGGTTAGAATGCCGATGGGAGGAAAGGATGGCACGCCATCTGCGTTGAGCTCTGCAAGCACCCCCACAGCGCTGCCTGCAGCCACGGGCCCAGCCGCCCACCTGTATGTCCTGCTTGATGTGGTCGATGCCCGCCACATCCTCATACTTGACCCCCGTGCCCCGCTTGGCGGCCCCGCCCTTCCTGCAGCGCACGCGCGCGCCGGCGTGGCGTGGCGCAGGCGTGAGTCGCGGCGGCAGGCGGCAGGCGCGATGCGGGGGGCAATGGACAGGGCGCATCGCCGCAGTTCCCTCCCAAACGCAGGAGCGCACGCAGCAAGCAGGAGCAGCGCAGGGGCAGCGGGGGTAGAAGCGCACTCACTTGCCGCCCTCGCCCTCCACATTATACTCCTTGGCCCGGTGCCTGCCCAGCTCCTCAGCCAGCTCCTCCTCCGCGCTCTTCTTCTCCCGGCCCATCTTCTTCAGGGCCCACTCGCCTGCAGGAGAGGTTGTGGTAGCATCCCTTTGTTGGGTTGGTCGTGGCGTGGTGTGCGTCCAGCCACGACAAAAAGGCTCCCGCAGTGAGGTCCGTGCTGCCCTACGCCCAGGCCGCGGGCAAGCCAAACAGTCCGGCTGCCGCTGCCCAGGCGGCAACAGCTGGCCGGCTGCCGGGGACCCTCCCACACGCGCCTGCGCCCACCACCAGCCGCAGCGCCAGCAGGCCCAGGATGGGCAAGAACTGCGAGGAATACTCGTTGAGCCAGACGTAGCTGCAGGGGCAGGCCAGGAGGCGGATGGGGAGGGAAGGGGGGCGAGCCACTAAAGAGGCGCCCGGCAGCAGGCGCGGGTGAGGGCGGGCAGAGGCGGCAGTGCTGGCGCTGCCCGGCTGCGCTCCAGCGGTACCGCCTCCGGGGGCACAGGCAGGGCGCCCGCACGCGAAGCCGCCGCCGCTGCCACTCACGCATCGCCGGGGTCCACCACTTGGAGCTCCGGCCGCACTTGATTGACGCGCAGCATGGAGGGATAGGGCACACGCAGGTCGCCGTTGATGTACACCTGCCGTACAGGTACAGCACAGTGGGCGGTACGGTGGGCTCCGACGGTCAAGGCTGCCATGCTCCTGCCACCAGCGGAGCACCATCTGCATGCGGCGTCCCGCCACAGCCATGCTCCCACCGCTCCACGCCAGCACCCCGCCCCACCCCCACAGGCAAGGCCCCACCCCTGCGACCAGCAGCCAGCGCAGCGCCGCCGCCCCTGCTCTACAGCCCCGCCCTCGCAGCCCACCCGCTTCTCCTGGTTGTCGCGGATGAGGTGCATCAGGGTGCCCTCCTCCCACACATCCCCAGGCAGCTCTACGTAGTACCGGTTCTTCTCTATGCGCCACTCGGGCAGCTCATCAGCGTACTGGATGCTGCGGTACAGGCAGGCGGCAGGCAGCCGTGCCGGGTGGTGCGCTGTGCGGACGAAACAGCTGCCGACGCCGGCACCGAGGCACCGCACGGAGCGCCCCGCACACAACACAAGCGCACGCGGCAGCACAAGGCGCAGCTAAGCGCAGGTGCCTCCAGCGGCGCAGTCCGGCAGGACAGCCCGGCAGTACAGCCTGGCAGTACGCACGTGAAGTCGCGGCGGTCCACCATCACGTGGTCAAAGTCGGACTCCATGTTCTCCACAGGCACCTGCAGCACAGCCCCAACCGATGGCAGGCAGGCGCGCGCTGTGAAAAGGGACGTACAGAGGCGCACGGAGCCTGCAGTCGCGGCTGGTTCAGGCCTGCATCCAGGGTGGTCCGACGACGGCTCCAGGCACACCCAGCACAGCACACGCGGCACCAGCGGGCCACACCAAACACCGCAGACCGTCCCGCACCTCCACGATCGCGGTACGCCCGTCGCTGAGCAGGATCACCCGCTTGATGCGCCGCTCGTGCAGCAGCTGGAGCATTCTGCGGCACCAGGGGCAGCGGGGGGGCGCCGAGGGTCGGCGCCAGCGAGCGGATGAGCCGGTGAGGCTTGGGGGCAGCAGGCCACCCAGAACGCCATCCGGAACTGCAGCCCCCTGCACCCGCCAGGCCTGTCCTCGGCAGGCCAATCGCTGCCAGGCCCAGCTCCCAACCCACTCAGCCCTGCTTAGCTGCCCACCTCACACCCCGCACTGAGCACCTGCCCCACGGCAGCACCCTCACACCTGGCATAAGAAATCTGGAAGGAGCCTATGGGTGGCAGTACATCTCCATAGTACACACGGTCGTAGGCTGCCTTGGCCGCCTTGCGCAGCTCGGTCAGCCGCACGTCCAGCCCTTTGGTGGCCTCGGCAGCCGCAGCCACCACCTCCTCCTTGCCTGGCGGCTTCACGCGCTGCGGCAGCGCCGCCAGCTGCGCCTGCGTGGAGCGATTAGTGTGGAGAACCAAAGGCATGTGGAGCGGGGGAGATCAGGCAGGCGCACAGCTGGCCTGGGAGCAAGACTGGCCAGCAGGCAGGCAAGAAGCGAGGAGGCGGCGGGTGGCACTGCCCGCGAGGCGGCCGACACCCCAGCAGCAGGCAGTGGCGCGGGGTGCTGCTTGAGGAACCTGCAGGTCATGCACTCACCACTTCCTGGGCAGCCGAACGCCACCCCGGGCCCTCGCCAGCGCTGCATGTTATCGCCTGAAGGCGACCCCTGCTGCGGCCCAACTGCGGCAGCCTGCTACCGGGGAGGGCTGCGTGACACTTGCTGCCGCACAAACGCACGCTCCTGCTCCGCCTGGGCAGCACCGCCGCACTGCCACTGACAATGCAGGCCGGCCGGCACGGCCCTGCCCCACCCACAACGCGCATTGCACCGTGCAGTGCCTCAGAGCATAAGCGTGACGGTCAGGGGGAGCGGGTGGGACCGAGGTGATGGGGTGTCGAGAGTGTGCAAGCAGACGGAGCAACAAGTTGATCACGCAATGGATGATAGTATGCCGCTGGGCGCACGAAGACAAGGCGGCTGCCAACATGGCCCTCGCCGCCAGCAGGGCCGCCGCCGCCTGGGAGTGGTGCGTGGATGCCCCAGGCAAACGGTCAGTGGACGTGAAAGCAGCTTGACACGGTTCCCAGCCTCCAAGGGTTCCATGATGGGAGGCACTGGTGGCAGGACCCATGAAAATCGCACGCCAGGAACTGAAATCTGGAGTCGTCACACGTTCGAGCCTGGGTGGCAAAGGGAGTGCACAACATGGCTGGAGCAGGTCGTTTCTCAGCTATCCCTCTGAGGCTTCCGGCTCTGAGTCCTCCTCGAACCACCCTGGCTCCTCCTCATGGGGCGAAGGCTGTGCTGCAAGCCACACCTGTTCCCTTGTCACCCTGCAGCCGTGCAGCGAGACAGACACGCAACGCATCGAAACTCAGGCAGATGTTCAGCTTTCACATGAGCAGCGAGCTATCGCACACCCGGCGGTGCCAACTCACTCTGGCAGCCAAGCCGGCACGTCTTCCACCAGCAGCGGCAGCAGCAGCTCCACTAGCATGCCAGAGTTAAAGGCCCACCGCAGCCGCCCCTGCCCGTCCACCGTGCCGCCGTGCTTGCGGCTGATGCGCAGCAGCTCCGCGGTGGCCGCCCGGAAGGGTAGCACGGGTGTGTGTGCGGGCTCCAGCGCCCCTTCTTGGTAGCAAACTTGCTGTCCGGCAGCGGCGGAATGATGTCCAGCAGGTATGGGTTCTCATGCGGCACGCCTGCCAGCACCAGCTGGGCGACAACATCGGGCTTGCGCTGCAGAACAGGGGAGGAAAAGAGTCTCCATCCTCACCTAGTATGACGAGGTTCATAACCACACGGACAAGCATGACTGTTCACACAGCATGACAATTCCCCTCAACCTCCCATCCACCCACCTGGTACACCGCAATCTGCAGGGCTGTGGCGAGCACGGCGTTGGCTGTGGTGTTGTTAACCACCTCTGCGCCCCCAGTATAGGTGCTGCCAGCTGCTCTGTGCCGCCGTCCTCCGCCGCCACTATCAGTGCTGGGTGCCAAACAGTGACCACGCGCGCGCGCATCGTGAGCACTTGTTTTCGAGGGGCTTTGCCTCCCGTGCCCTTGCGAGCCATTTGTGCTGCCTCCTCTCGACGGGTGAGCACCCAATGCTGGTGCGGCGGAAATCAAAGGGGAGGCTTCAATCACAGGCAGCTAGACAACACAAACGTATTGTTGATGCTAGGCCTGCATCAAGCCAGGGAAAGCGATGCCTCATGCCGCCCGCCATGTGGCGCTGGCGCCTGCTGGCGAAATGCAGGGGCTGCTGCTAGTTGCCTGATACAAGAAACCTGGAACCATCTCTGGAAATTAGGAGGGGTGGGTGCTGCATGTTGTGCTGTGGCCGCTGTCACCGCCGCCATTGCGGAGCTTAGCCCTGGCACTTTCCCTGCAGACTCAGGATTTTGCCTAGCATTACCCATCAACCAAACTGGGTCCTGTGGACATTCATTTCAGGCACAGGCAGCGTTACAGCGGGGGAAGGGGGGGTTACACGGTGTGGCCTCTAGCTGCTACCCCTCGCCTGGCCCCTGTGCTGCCACCTACTCCACCCCCTTCACCTGCCTTGGCACCCTGCAGCCAGGCAGCGATAGCGGCATGAGATGCAACTCAGCACCACCCAGAAATGCGGCAGCATTGTCTGCCGCTCTTCCCTGCTTGGGTCACCAACCCACACCACATGGGGATACCCAAAATGGGCTGATGCGGCCCACAGCCAGCTGGTCACACCCGCCCTCCTCCGCCGCCGCTATCAGTGCTGGGTGCCAGACCCAGGCTTGGTGCTGGGGATGGCTGCCCGTGCCCTCGCGAGGCACACGGCGAAGCACGCGCTGCGTCTTGAGGGTCGCCCCTCCTCCCCCCCCGGGCGAAGCGCTGCCGCATGCGGCCGCCGCCACCTCCGCCGCCAGCAAGGCCGCTTCTGGCGACTAAAAACCAGCCTGTACTCCTTCTGCAAAACATCCGGATTGCGTTACAAGGGCCACTGCAGCCTGCATTTAGTGTTTGGTGTTGCGGGGGACGTCATGGCCTTCCGACAGTGCGCCCGCACTCGTGGAAACGCTTTGCTTATTTACTTACAACGAAGAGGAATACACTGCGGGCCTGCAGCATGCTACTCGCAGGTGGTTGCCGGGGGTTCTCTGCCCGCCCAGGGTTCTCTGCCCGCCCACAGCGTCGGGCCTAGTTCCCTGGAGCGTGTGAGAACGCCCACGTAGCTGCAGCTAGCAGGGCGGCTGGGGCGGCGACCACCCCGCCGTGCCGCAGTGCTTGGCGCCTGCGCCGCCGCCCCGCCTGCCGGGAACTAACTGGGGCACACCACTGGCGTCTTTGCCGTCGCAGCGACAGCAGGTGGCCTGGGCCTGCGGCGCGGCCCCTCCGGGCCGCCGCCTATCCACAAGCTCCAACGCCGTGCTGAGCAACACGACCAGCTTCCTGCGCAACTTGCACAACGGCGCCGAGGCTGGTAGGAGTGCAGCCGCGGTTGGTAGAAGTGCAGCAGCGGCCGGGCCAGCCTCGACGCTCCCCCGCTCCGCCTCGCTGCGCCTGCCACAGCGCCGCGCCGCCGCGCCCCGCCCCGCGCCGGCAGATCTTCCTGGTGGGCACGGCGCACGTCAGCAAGCGGTCTTCGGAGGAGGTGCGCGACATGATCCGCCTGGTCAAGCCCGCCTCGGTGATGGTGGAGCTGTGCCCGCAGCGTGCCGCACGCCTGCGCTCCGGCGCCGGCGACCACGACTTTGTCAAGGTGGGGGTTCCCCAGGGGAGTGCTGGGCCGGGCATGCAACGCGGGCTGTGCACGCGCGGCAGGCGGGGCGATGGCTGGGCTGAGAGCGGGTGGGCGCGGGGGGCAGGCCAGGACGGGGCCAGGCAGCGCCGCGAGGGCTGCACGGTCACCCCTGCGCCACTGACTGCGCCATGCTGCAGCAAATGCTGGCGTCCTTCACATCTTCTGGCGGTAGCCTGGGCCAGCGGCTGGTCAAAGTTGGCCTGCCCATGATGTACCGGTGGGCGGTAGTGGTGGTGTGTGCGTGTGTGTTGGTGGTGGTGGTGGTGGCAGGAGGAGGGCGCGAGGGCCAGGGGCGCATGTGCATTCCATTTTTGCAGCCAGTCGGGAGTGGCGCACAGGACAGGCGTCCACGTGTGTTGAATGTGAACATTACAAGGCAGTGTAGCTGTAGTTACACTGCGGTTTGCGGCTGGCTGGCCGGCCTGGATGCAGGGGCCTGAAGGTTCTTGGCATGGACCCGGGGGCGGAGTTCAAGGTGGCGCTGCAGGAGGCGGACCGCATAGGCGCCAGGTGGGACCGCGCTGCCAGCTGGAAGAAGTTCCCAGCTTATCGAATCTACAAACACTGGCAGGCAGCAGGCATCAGCGGCCGGGGACCAGCAGCCCGCCGCCGACGGGCCGCCCTCCCCTTGCGCTGCGCTGGCTGCCTGCCCTGTGCTGCAGGGTGGTGCACGGCGACCGAGACGTGCAGCGCACCCTGCAGCGGCTGTCGGAGACGGTGGACTGGCAGGACCTGCTGCGCGTGATGAGCGGGCGAGGCATGCCCGACCCGCCGCCGGCGAGTGGCCGCCCACCCGTGCCGCTGCCGCTGCCAGCCGCCCGCTGAATGCCTGCGTGCCTTCCCGCTGCTTCGGCCGCTGTGGAGCCTGTGGAGCGTCTGTCACCGCGCCGCTACTGCAGCCACCGGCGCTGGCACGCCCTGCCCTGCTGCTGGCTTGCCCTGCCGCCTGCTGCCGCAGGCGCTGCCTGGCTCTCTGGCAGACTTGGGCTGGGGGCATGCAGCTGTGCGCCGGGCCGTTCAATGCCGCTGCCGCCTCTGGCGGTCTGCTGTTGCCTGCCCTCCCGCCTGCAGTCCCTCCTAGACTTCTTCACGCAGCAGGGCAGCAGCAGCCTAGAGTCGCAGGCAAGGCAGGGCGCTTTGGTGTGCTGGCCGGCCGCCGCGCTGCGCCGCAGGGCCTCGCCGGGCCCTCCCGGCCTCACGGGGCATCGCAGGCTGCCACACCGGGGCCTCCTCGCAGGCTGGGCTGAGCTGTGTAGCAGCACGAGGTCACAGCTAAACACCAGACAGCAGTTTCAGGCCCCCAATCCGTGCCATCCACCCCTGGGCGCAGGTGGAGGCGATGAAGACGCGGGCGGTGGTGCGGGACATGTGCACCTACATGCGCCAAGTCAACCCACGCATGGCGGCGGCGCTCATAGGTGGGCAGGGAGGGCGTGTGCGCATGCGGGGAAGGAGCTGCCGAGCACAGGTCCGGCTGGCCTGCCCGCCTGCCTGCCTTCCTTTCCTTTGCACCCTGGGGCAGCTCGACTGCCTCAATGAACACACCCTTGGGCCCGCACCTGCCCTGACCGGCGCCGCCCCTCCTTTCCACACCACCGGCTGCGTGCAGATGAGCGCGACGAGCACATGGTGGGTGAGCTGAGCCGGCTGGAGGGGCGGGTGGTGGGCGTGTTGGGCCTGGCGCACCTGGACGGCATGGAGCGGCGCTGGGAGGCGCGCATGTACAGCAGGCAGGCGCTGGCGGCGCCGCGGTAGGGGCGGCAGCCTCCCCGCCGTGTGGGCCGCCGCGGGGGCTGCCGCTTTGTACCCTCAATTCCTGGGTGGTCTGCCCAATCCCGCAAAAGTTGTTTTCAATGAGCAACACCGCCACATGGAAGGAAAGAAGTGTACCGTAAGAGTACAAACAGGTTGCAGAACAGTAACAGAGGGATCAGAGGGAGCCGGTTGGGCGCAGAGGAGGCTGGGGAATTGGATATATGGGCCTAGTAGAGAGGGCGAGGGACGGGGAAAGGGGCCAGGGTCACTTCATTTGCTCGATCTCTGAAGAAGATCTCCAGGGCTCGCGTCATCTGCTGTGATCATGCGCTGCGCCCCCCTCGGCTGCCCGCACGCGGCTCTCAATCAGCTGAGCCATCAGGCTGTCGATGCCGATTGGCTCCGCCACCACACACTCCACCGATGGGTGAGCGGCCGCTGCTGCTGCTGCCAGGGCGGGGATGTCTTGCTGCGGGCGAGCAGGGTGGAAGGCGGGCTGGTGCGCAGGTGTGAGGTGCAGCAGCTGATGGAAGGAACTCAGGAGGGACCGGCGTCACCTTCGGGCTGCAGCAGGCCTCTGCCGGCACTGTGCATCCAAACTTGCCACCAGCCGCCGCCCCAGGGCATGCCCTGCACACACGCATGCAGCACCCCGCGCCCACCTGCACATGCCGGCCGCGGGAAAGGAAGTAGGGGGCGACGACGACGCGGCGCGCCCCCGCGGCAGCGCACCGCCCCACCGCCTGCTCGATCGTCGGCTCTGCCAGCTCCATGTGCGCCACCTCCACCACCTGCCGCCCCGTCACCTTCCTGCGGACAGCAGCGGTGGCAAGGCGCAGAGGCGCGGCGCGGGGCGGGGCTCGTGGAAAGAGGCGGGCTGGCAGGCTCGAGCGGGCGGGCAGCGCCGCGGCAATGCGAGGGCGGCAGCCGGGGCGGTTTCCAGCAGCAAGGAGTGCGCTTCTGGATGAGCAGCCAACTCCAGGATGTCGGTGGAGCACAGAATGGCCATGGCATGGCCCTGCCCGCACCGCCTACAGCCTCACTTGTACAGCTCAGCAAACTCGAGCAGCGCGTCGTTGGCCTCGGCTTTCTTCGAGCCATGATCCACAACCACCACCCCGACAGGCCCTTCGCTGCTGGCGCCGCCGCCGCTGCCGCCGCTGCTGCTGTGGCACCTCAGGCGTGCACGGCCGCTGCCGGCTGCGCGGGCCCCGGTGTTCGCGGGGCAGGCCGCTGGCGGCGGCGGCGGCTGGGTGCTGCCATGCCGCTGGGCACCAACCCGAGGCGTGCATTGCAGCAACCTCTGGGCTGGTTCGCAGCTTGTGCGAGTGGCGGCAGGAGACACTCCCGCACAGGGTGCCGCCCTCAGCATTGGTGAGAGGCTCCCTGCAGGCGCACTGGGGATCCCAGGCCTGCACAAGTCAATAGGGATGGCCAAACCGCAAGGAATGCGACGGAGGCCCATGCGAGTTTCTTCCTGCGAAGGAGGGGGTGCATCTCATTTGCCCATCCAAGCCCCGCAGTCCCTTCTTTGGCGCTGTCAACTGCTTCTTGTCAGAATTGTCGCACCATCTCCTACCCGCAGCCTCCACCGGGCACGCCTGGCAGCCACTTCTTCCCCCGCGGCCTCTGCAACCCGGCCTACCGCCAGCTTGCGGGCCCGGGTTGGCTGAGAACAGCCCTTTTCGTTCAGCCAGGCCGCCTCCAACCGCAGCCCGGGAGCTGCAGCTTGTGCCCTGAGGTGCCTGCGGGAACAGGGCAGCCATGTCTGCAGCAGAGGCGGCTCTGCCCCAGCTGCCGCAGTTCCAGCAGCAGCAGGCAGAGGTACAGCACCAGCAGCAGCAGCAGGCACAGGCGGAGCCCAAGGCGGCGCCCTTGGAGGAGGAGGACCCCAAGGCGGCGCTCCTCAAGGGCTTGGACGACAGCAGCGATGAGTGCCTCTTCAGCTGCAACATCTGCTACGAGTGAGTGCTCGGCGCTGTTCTGTTCGAGCCCTGCCTTGCGTCATCGCGGAGGAGCGCGCCCCGCGCGCCCCTTCTCGCCCCACCCCTGCATGTTCTGACCCCCTCCCATCGGTGGCGCCCCCTGCAGCCTGGCGTCCGAGCCCGTGGTGACGCTGTGCGGCCACCTCTACTGCTGGCCGTGCCTCTACCGCTGGCTTCAAGTACAGAGCCACTGCCGGACGTGCCCGGTGTGCAAGGCGGGAGTGGAGAAGGACAAGGTGCGAGCTGGGGCGGGGAGGCACCGGTCGCGTGTTGAGCGGGATCGGCACGCACGACCGCCGCTGGCCGCTGCCGGCCCTTTGCTTGTGTGCTGCGCGTCGATCGTGCCTCCACCCCCGCCCCTGCGCCGCAGGTCATCCCCATCTATGGCCGCGGAGGCAACGAGGACCCGCGGTCCAAGAGCAAGGGCGACCTGGAGGCGGTGCCGCAGCGGCCCGCGGGGCAGCGCCCCGCGCCGGTCGTGCGCAACCCCATGCTGCAGCCCAACCTGAACGTCAACGCGCAGCAGAGCGGCCTGGGCATCATCCCCACCCTCTTCGGCCTGCAGAACGGCAACGGTGGGTGCTTGTGTTGTGCAGACGGGGTTTGGCGCCGGCTGCCGCAAGGGCGCCTGCTGTGGGCACCTACACCGGGGGCTGTGCTCATCTTTTGTCTATGGGGCTGGGGCACCCTCACGCATGCACAGGGATGCCCGAGGTAGCAGCAGCGGCGCCTTCAATCTTGCTGCCAGCCCTTCAATCTTGCTGCCAGCCCGTCCTGACGGCTCTCCCGCTCCGCTGCCCCCGGCTGGCTCTGCTTGCAGGCAACGGCGGCTATGCAGAGCCGTTGACCCCTGAGCAGCAGCACCAGGCATTCCTGTCCCGCCTGCTGCTCATGCTAGGCTCTTTCGTCATCATGGTGAGCTTTCTTTCCACCTGCTGTACCGCACGTCCCGTAGTATACTGCCTTCACCATTCGCCTCTCCCCTGCTGGCTGCCAGCCCTAACTCATTCCTTCCCCCCCTGCACCTCCCTGGTGCAGTGTTTGTGTGAGTGGAGCTGGGATTTTTGACACCTTGGGATGATGTCGGTGCAGGGCACCATGCTGCCCTGTGCACTGTTGCCTTGCATGCATGCCCCCTGTGCTGACTTTACTGACGTTGTGCATCCTTGCCGCTGCGTGCAGTGCTGTTCTGACCTCGCTTGGGACGATGCCTGGCGCTGGAGCCACGGCCGCTCCCAAGTGCTGCGCTGCCGTGCAGCGAGCGCCCCAGTTTTCCCATTCCGTTTGGCTTGGGCAGCTGCTGCTGCCCCCCCCTTGATCTGTACCGCGGGCATCTGTACCGCGGGCACACTCCGCGCCAGGGTGCCACACAGGCGGGCGGCAGCAGCCGCTGCGCATGCCGCTGCTGCCTCCCGCTGCCCCCCGTCCATCGCTACCAGCGTCTTCACTTCATTGTAGCGCAGCTGTTCGTGCTGCGGCAGTTCTTCCCTCAGACCCCCCAGTCTTTTCCCGATCAAATCTTCCTCCCCTGCGAATGTACTACCGTCCCGCTGTCCTCTTCCCGTCCCCTAGCTCCTAAAGCGAAAAAAAACCTGTGGCCTCAGCGTGCGGGCTTGAATCCTATGCAAACAATTGCAATCAATGCCGCCCTTGCCCCGCATGCCCTGTGCTTTTTGTGCGCGCCGCACCTGCCCACAATGCGCCATGCATGATTTCAGCCCCTCATCAGCTCATTCATTGTGGCGCCAGCCTGTCATAGTGCCATAACCCTTATCTGTGCCACTGCCACTACTGTAAGCCTTGTTGCATCAGCGTGCTGTCGTTGCATGGGAGGCGCACAGGAGAGAATTGCAAGGGGGGTCGCGGCGTTGCCAAATGGGAATCTGCTAGTCTTGCAGCAGGCTATCGCCAGCCAGCCGCGCCATTCCGCACCAGCCGGCCATCGGCCTGCCACACCCGCGGGCGGCCCTGGGTCGGCACGGCTCCGGAGTGTCACCAGCCGGCCTGTGGCAGGTCACTAGTCGGTCGCCAGCGGGGTCGCTGGTGGGCCACAGGCCAGGGGCTGCGCCCCCGGGCCTCCGGGATCAGCAGCGCGGCAGGGCAGTCACCAGTCCGCCTCAAACTCCGCATCCTCCAGGTCTGGCAGCGGGAAGCGCAGGATGGCGGCGATGCCGGTCAGCTGGTTGAGCTGCTCGCCCGAGGCGTGCATGCCAGAGAAGACGTGCACTGTGCCGCCGCCTGCGGAGGGTGTAGGCGCGGGGCAGTACAGGCGCGTGTGGATGTGGGGCAAAAGAGCAGGAGATGGGCAGGGCGAGGCGCCCGGTGGTGTCGGGCGCCGGCCACGCCGGTCAGCTTGAGATGGGCGGGGCAGGGCCCCTCCGTCGTGCGACCCAACGCTGGGTGCAGCTCCTCGGTCCCGCCCGCCTGCGCACCCACCTGCCGTCACCTCATCCACCAGCTGCACAAACTGCTTGCGCTTCTTCACATCGCTGGTCCGGAACAGGGAGTCGGTGATGAGCAGGGTCTGGGGGGCCGACAGGGGTGAGGAGTTGGGGTGAGCGCGAGTTTGTGGAGCGCATGTTTGAATGAGAGAGTAGTGTGGACGGGGAAAACAGGCCGGCAAGCATGCACCAGCAGGCATGCAGCCGCAATGATCGCCAGCGAAAAGGCGCCCCAGCCCTGTGTCCCGCCGGACAGCGGCGGCGCGCTGCAGGCGCCGGCAGCTCCTCTCCCCGCGGTGGCGCACCTGTATCGCCCCCATCTCGTGCGCAGCGTGCACGTGGCCGGGCCCGTAGAAGGCTCGGCTGGAGTCGTGCGCCAGCATGGTCATGAAGTCCGCCAGGGCCTGAGGGCAGGACAGAGGCATGAACAGGCGCGGTAGGGTGATGGCAGCGGCGGCTGCACAGGGCCAGGCCAGGCATGGGGCCCGCATAAGCATCCGCTAAGCATCCGCCGCTGGCAGCCCATTCGCCGCGCCCTTCTGGCAGGTGTGCAGCCCGTCCCGGCGGCCCCGCAGCTACCCGCCCAGCCCCACCTGCACCTCCTTGGCCGCCTTGGTGTCCTTGATCTGCCCAGCCACCACGCTGCTAGCCAGCACCTCCCTGCACGCCGCAGGCAAGCCAGCACCTGTGACTGCCTGGGCCACCGTGTCTGCCTGCCCTGCCTTGGCTGCCCTTCCCCGCCTGCCGGCGTCTGCCTTGGCTGCCCTGCCCTGCTCTGCCTGCCCTGCCCTGGCAGTCCTGTCCTGTCCTGCCTGCCCGCCTCCGCGCCCTGTGCCTCCTCCGCAAGCTGCCCTCACTTGATGGAGTGCTTGTATGCCGAGGAGGCGGAGGCCAGCAGGATCTTGGACTTGTTGAGCATGAGGGTGCGCAGCTCGCGCCGCTGCGCCTCTGCAGGCGAGCAGCGAGTTGCAGCAAGGGCGGCAGGGGGCGGGCAGCGAGTCGCCGTGTGCAGCGCCGGCGCCGTGGGCCGTGGCAGTACCATGTTGCAGCATCATGTCGCACCAGAGTGCTACAGAACTGCCAGTACCAGCAGTACCACCCACCCTTGTCCAGGTACTCCCGAAACTGGTCCTTGGCAAACCCCGGCCCCGCGATCACCAGGCACCGCACGATGTCCCAGTCCACGTGACGCACCACGGCGGCAAACACCTGCAGGGGCGGGGGAGCAGCAGCGGGGAAGGCAGACGTCGAGGCCGGCCAGGGGGCGTGGAGCCTTGCCACGCCACCAGCTGAGGTACCAGGCCCCATGCCTAGACCTCCGCGCATCACATCAACACCTGCCTTCACCACCCCTTCCTCCCCAGGCCTCCCCCCCCCGCCATCTGCCTTCACCACCCCTCCCTCCCTCACCCCTCCCCACCTTGTCGTAGAAGCTGTCCATGGCTTTGTCGTACCCCGCCGCCGCCGCGCCCCGCTTGCGCGGCACGTTGGCCTCTACCTTGGCGCGGGTGAGGGTGCAGGTGGAGCCAACCAGGCACAGGTGCGCCAGGCCCTCCTGCAGACCAGGCCAGGCAGGCAGCGCAGCGCAGCGTAGCGTAGCGCAGATGCTGACGCCGTCAGCCTGAGGCCGGAGCTCCGCCTCGTCCCGGCTGCCGCGGGCTCTGCATCCACTGCCGTACAGGTAGCAGGGCATGCAACGCGTCTCACTGCTGCACATGGAATCTCTCCGCCCCGGGGTCTCACCGTGATAAGCAGCACCGCCAGGTCAGCAGAGGCGGCCGGGTCGGAGGCGGTGCGCACCCGCTCCACATCCACAGAGTCCCACACATCCTGCAGGCAGGCGAGGCAGGGCGGGGGCTGGGCTGGTAGCAGCAGCATGCAGGTATGACTGCTGGTGGTGGCAGCCCGCATGCACGGCCTTGGCACGGCTGCGAGGCTGGCTGCCTGCCAACCCTGCCCCCTGGCCAGCCCCCTGCCTCCTGCACTCCCTGCCTCGCGCTGCCAAAGCCCGCCCACGCACCTTGTGCAGCGTGAAGGCGCGGTGCAGCTCCAGCTCAATGGTGTGGTAGGCGCCCAGCCGCACGTGCTCGTTCTCTGTCAGGTTCCGCCCCTTGAGCCGTATCTGCTGGCCTGCGGCAGGCAGCAGGCGGCAGGGAGCCAGCAGCGTAAGGATGGAGGGGCAGGCGTAAGGATGGATGACACACAGAGGCACGAGGTGGCCGCTGCTTGGCCAGCAGCGGCGGGTCTTGGGGATCCCCGGCGCCTGACCGCTTCTGGCAGGCCCAGGCTGGATGCGAGGCTGGAGAGGCCCAGAGACCGCGACCCGATGCTGCACTACTCCACCCCTGCTGCCAGCCAGCCCCCCAATAACCCGCATGCACACAGCCTCCAGGGGCCGGCTGCACCGCCCTGCTCACCCTCTGCGTCGTACTCCACCCCCTGCACCGCCACCATGAGCTTCAGCTTGACCCGCTCGCTCTCGCTGCCCGTGCCCAGGTCCTTCTGCACCTTGCGGAAGGTGGTGGCCTCCACGCGGTCGCCCTCCAGGATCAGGTTGTAGGCGTGCCACAGGTCCTCGCCTGCAGGAGAGGGCATTGCGGAGGCGGCTCAGGAGGCAGGAGGCCAAGTCCCGCCGCCAGCGGCGGCGCCGCCCCCTGCAGCCCGCGCGCTTACCCTCCTCCGGCACCATCTTGGCCCACCCCGGCCCCTCCTTGATGATCTGCTTGGCGAGCAGCTTCATTTGCGCTGGCTGACGCGCAGCTGGCCGACACCGCCGTCACCAGGGGCCACGAGCTAGTTCGCTTGCGTTGCCACTTGCTTACGTTACCATAGCCGCTGCTGCTGCAAGTGCTGCTTGCGCGCCACGACCTGGGTTTGGCTGAAATGGCTAGGCAAGTAGCAGGCGGCAGGCAGAGCAAGGACGGTCGCCCTTGTGCTAATTGAATGGCAGTCGTGATGCGAAACTTTGGAAATGCGTGCCGACAGCATGCTGCAGCAGCGCGGTTCAGATGGCTTCCCTCTGGGCGGCCCCGCCTCGTGTGGCGCTCGCCTGCGCACCGAGCGCTGTCCCATCCGTCCCATGCATGCAAGAGCAGCTGGTGACCTGATCTGATATGAATCATTGCTGTGCCCCTCATCCTGTCGCAGACCTTTCTGTGCAACTATCCGTTGGCACCTCTTGGGTTGGTGTGGCAAGAGCACGAGGCGGTGGTTGCCATGGGCTGTTGGCAATTCTCAGCAACAATCCCAAAGGCTGGATGTGTGTGTGATGTCTTTGTTTGTTGAGGGTTGCCGTTTATTCTAGAGCTGGCCTCCGCACACCAAGGGGTCGCCCCGCCCAATATGTCCGCCTGGCGCCAGAGTGACGACGACCCTGTTGGGCCATAACCAGGCCCTGCCACCACCACCCGCTGCTACGTGGGCAAGCCATCCTTGAAGCATTGCCTTGCCCATGCGACTAAGCTAGGTTTCACAATGGTCTCCTAGCGCTTTTGCTTGCCAGCAACCTTTCTTTGCTGTGTCCTGTGAAGCTAGGCTCCTGGGAGAGCGGCAGGGAGAGCCGAGATGGACGAGGGGTCCCACTGCGCTGTGTTGCGCCAGTCCCCCCTGCTGGCCGCCTGGGCTGCCCTCCTGGCGCGGGTGGCCGCGGCGTGCTGCCACCTCCTGGAGCTCGACTGCCAGCTGCGGCCGCCCGAGGAGCAGTGCGCCACGGCGGCCTGGGTGCTGTCGCTCGGCGTCGCCCTGCTGGCGGCCGCCTTCCTGCTCGGCTCGGCCGCCACCGGCCTGCTGCGCTGGCTCACCCAGCGCGACGGCAGCCGCATGATTGTGGTGGCGGCCGAGGTGCTGGCAGAGCTGCGCAAGGTGCAGCCGCTCGACTACCCCTCGCAGCGCCACCTGTTTGCCTCGGCGCCCGCCGGCGCTGTTGCCGCCGACCCGCTGGCGCCGCTGCTCTGCGCCGTGTGCCAGACCGGCATCAGCGGCGGCGGCGCAGCCCCGCACGCCGCCTCCCTGCGCTGCTGCATGTCGTGCGGCCTGCTCACGCACGACGGCTGCGCGCGGCGCGCCGGCAAGAGCTGCCGCCCGCTGTGCTGCGCCGCCGAGCGGCAACCACACTTCTGGCAGGCGCACGGCACCGTGCTGGAGCCCGAGGTAGGCCAGCAGCGCTGCTGCAGCCAGGCGGCAGGCTGCTGCTGGCACTGGGCGTGGCTTGGGAGCCGGTGCTGCCACTACATGGAGGCGCCGGCTCCTCTTGCCATGGCATGTCTAGTGTGTGCTGGCTGCTGAGCTTGCTGGGCTGACTCTATAGCTGTCTTCTGCTGAGCTTCGCGACGGCGGCTCCCCACAAACTGGCTACAGGCGCTGGAGGGCGGCGGTGGCGGCGGCGGCGCGGCGGGACTGTCCTGCCTGTACTGCGGGGAACCTGCAGAGACGGATGCGCTGGCGGCGGAGCCGCTGTGGCGCTGCTCCCTGTGCGCCGCGGCCTGCCACGTGCAGTGCTTCTGCGATGCCCACCCACAGCTGAAGGCAGTGGGCGCCAAGCTGCGCGCTCTGCTGGACGGCGGCAGCAGTGGCGGGCAGGACGGCAGGCAGCAGCAGCAGCGGCAGGAGCGGCAGGAGCGAGGTCAGGGCGCCGGGCCACGGGCGGGGCAGGCTGGCGGCGCCGGCGCTGGCCCTGTTGGCAGCAGCAGCAGCAGCGAGGATGGCGACCCCCGCCTCCCTCTCGCGCCGCCTGCAGACGGGGCAGCCGGCGCCGCTGGGGCGCTCGGCAACGGCTCGCTGTGCCGCCGCCGCAGCGGGGCGCGGCCCAGCGGCGCCGCAGCAGACAGCTCGCCGCGCGGCCGGCCGCGCCAGTCGCGAAGCGGCGGCTGGCTGCAGGCGCTGGCTGGGGTGGTGGGCGGCGGCGGGGCCAGCGGCGGCGGCAGCGGGGCCGCTGCCGAGGGCGATAGTGGCTACAGCAGCGATAGCGAGTCAGGTGGAGAAGGATTAGATGTGCTTAGGACGGAAGCATGTGCTGCGGTCGGGCTTGTGCCGCCAACGCATGTTGGAGTGCTCGTATCCCTGCCCCCACCTCGTTCACATGCGCTCGGTGCTCCGTGCCACTCCCCTCGTCCCTGCTTCCCTACCCTCTCACCCCTCTCCCTGCCCCGCGCTCCCTTTTGCTGCTCCCTGCTTGCCCCTTCCTTTTGCTGCTGCTGCAGACGACCCATACGACGCGAGGGTGCAGCGCCAGCGCTGGCAGCGGCGGCGGCGCCGCCGCCTGCACTTCCAGGACATTGGGCGCCTGGATGAGTGCACCCTGGGCCCCAGCAGGTGAGCCGCTCCTGCCTGCGCGCCGCCCGCTGCCGCTGGCTCCTGTGCATGCTGCATGCCTGCATGGGTTCTGCATCGCCGGGTGCAAGCGTTGCAGCCACGACAGGAGCTCGATCACGACAGAAGCTCGCGCCTCCCCGCCTGCACCCCTCCCGCCGCTTGCCCGCAGGCGCTCGGTGCTGCCGCCGACGGCGGTGCGCCCCGCGCTGCGCAACGGCGGCAGCTCCCGCTCGCAGCTGGACCAGCTGGCTACCGCCGCGGAGCAGGAGCAGGCCACGCCGCTGGACGACGATGCCTCCTCCACAGCAGGCCTGTCAGACATCTCTGCTGCTGCCGCCACCACGCCTCGCGAGCCTCGTGCCAGCAGGCAGAAGCAGCAGGCCACGCCGCAGCAGCCGCAGCGCCCGGGCCCGGCAGCGGCAGATGGCAGCAGGGAGGGCGGCGGAGGAGGAGGAGGCGGCGGCGGCGGGAGCGGCAAGAAGAAGCGCAGCAGCTGGTGGCGCCGCCTGTACCGCCCCAAGCACCTGCAGTGGCAGGACTACCGAATAGGTGGGTGGGTGGCTGGGTGGCATGGCCCCCATCCGGCCGCTTGACAGTCATGCCAGCAGCCGCCACGCGGTGCCAGTGAAGTGGCAGCCCTGCGTGGGGATTGAAGTGCACCCTCTGCTCCCGCTGCAGACCAGCTGCCGCCAGGCTGCAAGCCCGTGGTTGTGTTCATCAACATCAAGAGCGGCCCGCAGGTGGGCGCCTGCCGCAGGAGCCTGACCTGCCTTGGGCCCTGCCCTGCCCTGTCCCACGGCTGCGTGTGTGGCAAGCTCCAGCCTGCTCCATGGAGAAAGAGCCGTGCAGCCCCTGCTGCCCAGCCTGCTCGTCTCGTGGCGCGCCGCGGGGGCCAGCCCCACACGCCAGCCAACCCGGCCGCCGCGCCTGCAGGTGGGTTCCACGCTGCGCCAGCGCTTCCTGCGCACCCTGCACCCGCTCCAAGTGGTGGAGCTGCCCCGCCAGAAGCCCGACGCCGCGCTGCAGCTGTTTGCGCCGGTGGCGGTGCACACCCGGGTGCTGGTGGTCGGCGGCGATGGCAGCGGTGAGGCGCGCGGCGCCCGCCTGGCCTTGCCTGCGCTGCAGTGGGCCGATGCGGCAGGCCAGCGCCTGCTCCCAGCCTTCCAGCTCCTGCATTGTTACCTCTCATGGCTGCTGCTTAGCACACCCCACTGTTAAAGATATCCCTGGTGCTCGCCTCCGCCTGCAACCGAACCGCCTCGCCTGCTGCTTCAGTGGCCTGGATTCTTTCCACCTTGGAAGACATCAAGGCGGCGCAAGCAGCCGGCGGCAACCCGCACTGGAAGCCGCCGCCGGTGGCGGTGCTTCCGCTGGGCACAGGCACGGCCCTGGGCTGCTTGCCCCTTGCTGCGGCCGGCGAGGCTGCCAACGGCTGCTGTGCCGTGGCCTGGCGCCGGAACCAGCAGCGGCTGATGCGCCTTGGCTGCATGCCCCACCCGCTGCCGCATGCGCAGGGAATGACCTGGCGCGGTGCCTGGGCTGGGGCGGCGGGCACGGCATATGGCAGCAGGAGGGTGTGAGCACAATGCTGGCAGAGGTGCAGCACGCGGCGCCGCTTCACATAGACAGGCGCGTCTCCTCCTCGGCGCTGTGCCTGAGCATGAGCCTGTGGTTGTGCCATGGTGCTGCCTGTTGCCCGCATGTGCTGCCTGGCCTCGAGAGGCTCGCGTGGCGGGGCCCTGTGCCGCAAGCTGGAGCGGGGGCAACAGCAGCAGCCGGTGCCGAAAGCAGCTGGCTGGGGCAATCGCTGCGGCCAGTGCCGAATGCAGCAGCTCACCGAGCCGAGCTGCGGCTGCTCCTGCTGCAGGTGGAATGTGAGCTTCCTGCCGCCCGCGCCGCCAGAGCCCAGCACACCGCTCAGCCCCAGAGGTGCGCCTGCGCCCCTGCTGCTGCGCAAAGCGAGGGCGCCAGGCCGCTGCCTGCATGCCTACACTCCTCCAGCCTGCCGGCTGCCCCTGGCTGCACCTGCAAGCTGCTTCGTCGAGCCTGCTCCGCAGCCTTCAGCCCACGCACCGGGCCCTGGCGCCGCCCCTGCCGCAGGCAAGCTGCAGGTGGCCCTCGAGGCCTCCAAGCTGCAGTCCATGGCCGGCATGCGACTCTCCTCGCTGCTGCAGCGGGGCGGCGGAGGCGGCGGCGGAGGAGGAGGAGGAGCGGCAGGGCCCCGGCCGGTGGTAAAGCAGATGAACAACTATCTGGGGATAGGCGTGGATGCCAAGGTGACTATCTGGGGATTGGCGTGGATGCCATGGTGTGTTGTGCCGGCCTTCTGATGCTTGAGAGGTGACTGACAGGCGCTGGTGGGGGTAGGCAGGTGTCTGTGCGAGGGGCGGGCTGGCGTTGGGCAGCTCTGTGGGACATCGCGGCACACCGCCGCTGTTACACATGAACGCCCGCCAGCCTGCCAGCCTGCCAGCCTCAGCCTGCCTCTCAGCCTCTGCCTGCCAGCCTGCCTGCCTGCCAGCCTCTGCCTGCCTGTCAGCCTGCCTGCCAGCCTCAGCCTGCCAGTCCCTGCCTGCCTGTCAGCCTGCCTGCCTGCCAGCCTCTGCCTGCCTGCCTGCCTGCCAGCCTCAGCCTGCGTGCCCTGCCTGCCTGCCCTGCCCGCCAGCCTGCCAGCCTGCCAGTCCCCGCCTGCTTCCCAGCCTCAGCCTGCCCTGCCATACCTGCCTGCCACACCTGCCCGCCCGCCCTGCGCTGCACCGCAGGTGGCCCTGGAGTTCCACCAGATGCGGGAGCAGCTGCCCTTCCTGTTTGGCTCCCAGCTGGGCAACAAGCTGTGGTGGGCTGGGCAGCTGGCCGGCGGGCAGCCAGCCTCGAGCGCGCCGCGGCCGCGCCAGCGGCCCGGCTCCACCCTTGGAACACCTTTGCGCCCTCTCCTGCCTCCTTCTCTTGCCGTACATGTGTGCATATGCACGCACGCGCGATGCAGCTGTGCCGCCGCCGCTGCCCCGCCGCAGGTACACCGCGGTGGGCGGCAAGGACATAGTATCTGGCCATGCCTGCGCCAACCTGGCCCAGAAGCTGCAGGTGTGTTTCGGGGGATGGCGGCCCGCCTGGCCTGCAGGGCTGGCTGGCCGGTTGGCTGGAGGTCTCGCTGCCCGCTCGCTGCGTGCCGTGCTCCCAGCACCACCGCCGCGCACACGCATGCACACCACCCCACCCCTCCGCCGCCACGCCGCCAGCACACACACGGCTTGCCGCCGCCGCCGTGCGCGCACAGGTGGTGTGCGACGGGCGGCCGGTGGAGCTTCCTCCGGACATAGAGGGCCTGCTGGTGCTGAACATTAGTTCCTATATGGGTGGAGTGGACCTGTGGCGCAACGGCTACTCCCTGGCAGGCCCGGACCGGCGCGGCGGCAGCGGCTGCGGCGGCCTGGCCGGCGGCGGCGGGCGGCACAGCGCGCAGAGCATGATGGATGGCCGGGTGGAGGTGAGGGCGGGGCTGGTCGGCCGGTGGCTGGAGGGAGCCCTGCCAGGCATGGAGCCCATGCGAGCACCGTGGCAGCAGCGGGCCCCTGCCCTGCCATGCGCTGTGTTCTGTTCTGTGTTCTCCTGCCCCGCCCATGACAATGGTTCACGGGTCCCCCCGCCTGCCGCCCTTTCCTGGCCACTCCCGTGCGCCTGTGTGCCCCCTGCTCTGCGCAGCTGGTGGCCGTGTATGGCTCCTGGCACCTGGGCCAGCTGCAGGTGGGGCTGTCGCGAGCGGTGCGGCTGGGCCAGGGCCAGCACGTCGCCATCACCTCCCTCACGGCGCTCCCCATGCAGGTGTGTGTGCCGTGCTGCGCCGCTCGGTGCAGCCTGCCGCGTTTTGGGGGGTTGCTGAGCCTTGGCCCGCGCTATTCCGCGGGCCCTCCCTTGCCGCCGCCCCGCTCCCCGACTGCCGCCTGCCGGGGCAGCCCCGCCGGCGGCGTGGCTTGCGGCAGCTCCACGCCGCGTGCTCCCCCAGCCCCCTGCTTTGATGCTGTGCGCTGGGTGGCCCCGCGTGTCGCAGGTGGATGGGGAGCCCTGGGTGCAGGCGCCCGCGGCGGTGGCTGTGGACAGGCGGGGCCAGGGCCTGGTGCTGCGGCGGGTGCAGAGCAAGCCGCTGGCACGAATGATGCAGGTGCGCGGCTGGGGGTGGGGAGGCGGGAGGCTGGAGGGAGTGGAAGACGGTAGCAAGGGGCGCCAGCCGGCAGGGCGCCTGCGGCGGGCCCTCGCGTCCGCAGGCCGGTGTCCCAGCGCTGCTGGGTGTCTCGCCTGGGCTGGCTGCCGCAACCTGCGCCTCCATGCGCCGCCCTCCGCCTCCACCGTGGCTGGCTGCAGGCGTTGGCCGAGGTGCTGGAGGAGAGCGAGCACAGGGGCACCATCACGCCGGCGCAGCATCACACCCTGATGGCTGACCTGTCGGCCCGCCTGCAGCCGCTGCTGCTGCACCCAAGCTGACGCGGCACACCCCCGCTGGGGTGCAAAGCAGCACAGCACCTATCTGCACTTTGCTGGCATACGCTGATGCAACTGAATTAATTCCAAATGCTCTTTACACTACGAAAGGATAAAAGGAG